GAGAGAGCGGACATCATTAGAAGCATGTCTTCTATCTTGTCTGTGGGCAGGTCCCACCTTGGAGGGTAAAACAATGAATTTGAACTTGTCCTCCTCGCATGGAGTGAAGGACATCATTAGAAGCATCTCTTCCATCTTGTCTGTGGGCAGGTCCCACGTTGGAGAGTGAAACAATGAATTTGAACCTGTCCTCCTCGCATGGAGTGAAAATCAGTACCCAGTTCCCTATGCCACGAGTGACCTGCTGCCTATGAACTCCCCGAATGAACCAACACCCTTGAGAGAGCACAGAGGGCAGCAAGCTAAGCTAGCATAGAAACGCAAGCAGGAACTCGCTCGATAATTACCATGGGGGGCAGCACCAAGATCGCCTTTGGCGTTCTTGTGTTCCTGCAGGGCGAATCGTGCGTTGTGGCCCGGCACCACGCTGATCCAGGGACGTCCCTCGCCGGCTTCCAGGCAGGAACGATGACGGTGAACGGGTACGAAGAAGGAGATGAGGGCGGCCGGCCGGCGGCCTGCGACGGCGTATACCACAGCGACGGGGATTTCCTAATGACGTTGCCTACGGAGGTATACGTGGTCGGCCCCCCGGAATTACTTGGTAGTACTGATGTATATAGACATATTTTAGAGTCCACATTTACTCATTTTGCTTGGTGGGAACGACGCAAATACACACACGATGAAAACATCTATGAGTCAGCAAGGTCGGCCCAAGCTATATCAACTTTAGGGCAGAACTTTTCACGAGCAAGATTGAAGCAAACTAAAATTAAAAGACATGGCTGGTCCAAGCCGCCTGAGGGCGTCATCAAACCTAATGTCGATGCAGCTTTTGATCAGGACACTGGTACAGGGGGTACGGGAGCAGTGTTGCGTGATGAGGCCGGTTTCTTTGTCGCTGCTTCCTGCAGTGATATACCCTTTGTGGAAGACGCAGCGACGGCAGAGGCTGGAGGACTACGAGATGGCCTCCTACTAGCGAATGAAGTTGGTTGCAACAAAATCTATGTCGAAGCGGACTGTCTGGAGGTAATCGAGATCATGATGAGTGGCGGGAATTCATTAGGACCAGCAGCGGCAATACATGAAGAATGCACTTTCTTATCTAGCAATTTTATCTCTATAGTTTTTAGCCATTGCCCTCGGGAAGCCAATATGGCGGCGGATGTGCTAGCTAAGAACTCGGAGGTGTCTCGAACAATTGTTTGGAAATCGGAGCCCCCGGGTTTCTTAGTGGATGTTTTAACAAACGATGTATCTTTATTCTCACATGAAATATAAACCGCCATGATGGCATTTCCCTCAAAAAAACTGAAATCTATCAAAAGACATATATTTAGTAGCAAAGGGAGTAGATATAGGAAAATACACAGGAGCTCCTGGATGCTCCACATCCCTATACGAAAAATAATCATAAAAAATACCAAAAAAAACTGAAATTTGGGAATATCAAACCTGGTTTCCCAATCTACCCCCATGTGAAATTTTGTGAAAAAATTCCAAAAAACTTATTCATGGGGAAGGAAATACTGTCCGAACAAAAATCTACCCAAACAGTTTTTTTCTATATATAGGAATTTTTTGTCTTTTTTGCCCTGAATACGTTTCCTGGTATTTTTTCATGAAATTTCACACGGGAGTAGATCGGGAACCCACGTTTGATATCCCAAAATCCCATGTTTTTTTCCAAATTTCCCGGTATATTTTTGAATGAATTGTTCGTATAGGGGTGCGGAGCACCCGAGTGCTCCAAATCCTCGTCCGTAGATATAAGCATATTATCCGCTCCCGTCATGCATATGCATGTGCACATGTAGTATTTTATTTTATCAACTATACTCTGCCGTGAAGGCGAGCAAGTAGTAACGACTATGCTGACAAACTATCACTGCTGAGAAGTCGAAAGCGGATTACTTGATTTACGGTGAAAATTTTCATCTTTAAGCCGAGCACCATGTTGCAGTTAGACGTCCGACCAGAGAACGGGAACCTCGCCGGTACTGGTGTCGGTCCCCAAGGCCTTCCACACAGCGGCCGATGTACTGATCTCGTTATCTCCGCAGCCGTCCCCGCAATCGTCCACGACCATGGCCTGCACGGAGGTCCCGATCAATCTCTTGATGCTGATCATCTTTCCGCACCGGAGGCCAGTCCCGTACCACTTTGAAGCCATCGACACGAGGAAGAGGTCGTCATTGTGGTACTGGCCGTCGCAGCTCGCTGGCCCGCCCTCCTCTCCGTTCCCGAAGCCGTTTACCGACATCACCGCCGGGAGGTCGCGGACCTCACTGGCGGTGCATGACACCTGCAGTAAAACAAGAATGCCAAAGATCACCACTACCTTGGTAGTGCTCGCCATGGTAAATATGAGAGTTCCTGCTTGTGTTTATATAAGCTAGTCGTTTGCACTCTCCTTTCCCAGTGTGGTCTCTCTCAGAGTTTATTATATAGGCTCGTGCAGCATCCTGGAGACAAATCGGGCGACGTAGCTACACATGTGCACGCCGACCCGCCCTCGTGTGACTCGTCGGAGAACTAGTCGTCCAGGCCTGCAGACAAAGTAGATTCTCTCCTGTCCACGCTTTAACAAACTCTTGCATTGTTGAGACCACGCTTGTTTTTGGATTTCGTGCATGGACCTAAGGGCAAAATGTAATAGGGAGATAGCATGCCCCTTCTTTTTCTCAATACAGTGTGTTTTGTCGATCGGAATATATAGCTTCGCACACGTTGTTTATGTACGGCATGTGGATGATGGTAGGATCTCATGTTCATTATTTATGGAGGGATTTAATCTAACTGTGATTAGCTAGTGCCGTACATGCATCGGCCGCAAAATTGTCGGCTGTGTACCACTTCTTTTCTTTCGTGTGTCTACCTTCTCTTGCCACGCTCCACCCCTAGGGCAGGGTGTATGAGTGCACTGTTTTAGTGGCGCATGGAACGTCATCGATCAATGGAGGGGCACGTAGACTCCAGCAAAAGATACGTCGCCGTGCATGGATGGAAACACCAGCTCCAACCGCTTAGAGAAACGGATGGATAAAGCATGACTTTAGCCAGCTTGTCGCATGTCCATCGGCGGTGTGCATGCTTTCGTCTCCGACGTGATTGCTTTTGTCGCTTGATATATCCACGTCCGTCCAGAGTCCGAAAAGATAGACATTGATCAGGTAGATAGATCATGCATGGTGGTTGCGCAATCATTTCCCTAGCTAGGCATTCCTGTACGCGCAAGGCTAACTGCAGTACCATGGAAAATCGAACACATAATTGTAAGTATAAAAACCCCATGGCCATAGCAGCGTTGCTACCACACACAACATATCATGGCGCCCGCGTGGTCTTCAACGCTCTCGCCCCTTGTTGCATCCCCCGTCTGCACAAACTTCTCCACGGCAAAGACGACGACGACGCGGTTAGGCTACCTGAGAATTCCGAGCATGGGGTGCTCGCAGATGCTAGGCATGCTGATGATCGGCCTTAAACTTGTTTTAGTTTCTTACTTTTTCTGCCATTTCCCTCAAGTCTTCTCATGCACTATAATAGTTCTGAGTTTTGCCTGAATTTTCCTTGATGGAAAATTCAGGTGGCCTACCATCTCTTCTCCCTAGTGACCAACTGAAAAGAAAACGTATCGCGGTGCATGTCGAAAATGAAACTGAAAACAATGTGATGATCAGCACGGAGGGGTTGCTCCAAGCTCAGCTTGAGC